GTGGGATGTCCAGTCGGGTATGATAGGATTTGGGTTATGGACGCTTTTTTTGGACTAATTTTGACGATTTGTAATAGGAAACGAGATCCGCAAGCTGGAAGGTCACACCGGATCTCTCAATTCCGTTGCGTTTTCACCTGACGGCAAGACCATCGCGTCTGGTTCTGGTGATCAAACTGTGAGACTGTGGGATGTCCAGTCCGGTATGAAACGGTTTGGGTCGTTGATGGTTTAGTTTTGGACTAGCTTTGACGATGTTGATGTAGGAAATGAGATCCGAAAGTTGGAAGGACATGGTTATTCGGTCTTTTCTGTCGCGTTTTCTCCAGATGGAAAGACTGTTGTGTCTGGATCTGCTGACCGAACTGTACGATTGTGGGATGTCCAGTCGGGTATGTAGGGTTTGGGTCACGAGTTTGCCTTTTAGACTTTCTTTGACGCTGTTGATGTAGGAAATGAAATCCGAAAGTTGGAAGGACATTCGGACTGGGTAAAATCAGTCGCATTTTCTCCGGATGGAAAGACCCTTGCGTCTGGTTCTAATGATCAAACTGTCAGACTGTGGGATGTCCAGTCAGGTATGTAGGGTTTGGGGTGAGAATCGGATATTTTGAAGTCTTATTTGAAATTTTCACAACAGGAATTGAGATACGCAAATTGGAAGGCCACTCTGGAGGTGTCATTTCGGTTGAATTCTCGTCTGATGGCAAAATTATTGAATCTTGTGATTGGAACGACGTTACTCTGTCTTGGAAGACGGAAACAGGTTTGAGGGACCTGCTTTCCTCTTAAAGATATGAAAATTCATGATTACTGTGTAGGTGTCCCTATGGAACGTGGAATTGAAAATACCAACAACTCTATGTAAGATTCGTTTGCATTTGTTCCTCCCACGGTTCTCAAACAATTTCTTTGCGCACAGGTCTCCATCCGCTGACAGGTCGCTTGGGTTGGACGAACAAGGATGGGTCATTCAAGGACAGAGCGAATCAACGAAACCGCTCTTTTGGTTGCCCCAAGAACTTCGCGGCACACTGGTCAATACCACCAGTAGCTTGGCGTTGGGAACGGCTGGAGGTCGTGTCGTTATCATTGATATTTCCAGGGTTTAGTATATGTGGTTTATTTTGTTACCAAGACTTTTGAATATCACAACATCATTGTTTTAATTGTCGTTTGTATGTGGAGTATTCCAATAGGCCATCTTTTGCTCAAAGAAATACTGTTCAAGACCTTGACCGTGCCATTGCTGAAGAAGTTGTTCCCTTCGTTGCTTCCAATTTAAGATCCAAATGGCAAAGACATTTGGTGAATACATCCACTTGGCGTAGTTTACAGCCTGCCAACAGATTGCCAAGTTCGATACGTCACCATTACGAAACCTGCAAAAGGGCAAGTGATGGTCGACGCTGGCGGGGAGACCCAATGGTCCAAAGGAGATCTGAGCAAACGTCCAAGGGCAAATCAAGCGATTCAAACCCACCAGATTGACAAAGTCATCAACCGTGCCACCTAAGGCAAGATTGTCCTGATTTCTTGAAAAATAATGTCGAGCAGCGATCTCATCTGCCTTATCCAGACTAAATGGCGTGACGTCTTGGCTACTTTGTAATGGAATTTTGTGACAGTCCAGTGCAGTCATTTCTAATTGAAGGACGTCTTCGAGACTGCTCGCCTTGCAGAGAAACCTAGACAATCAGCAAATCAATAAAGACTGGCAGCTCCGGTAATTTTAATGCACACTCACATTTGGCAACACATACAAAACGGGACAGTGTTGTCAACAGTATACCCTTTGGATGTGTCTAGCCTTTGTGGTGAAAACATGGAGATGGGAGCGGATGATAAAAATACCAGAGGTAATTGGCACAGGCGTCTGCTGCAATAGACAATACCATCACGTTGATGTCGTTTTATAATGGAGTGGAGGACTACTAAAGCTTCTGCCTTTAGAAGGGCTAGCTTTTCTAGCGAAATACACGATTTCAGTCAGAGTGACTTCGCTTGGTAGATTCAAGCTTACCACGTAATGCGACAGTTGTCTGTAAATGTAAGATATCTGTTTTGCTGAATTTCCCGATACCAATGTTATCATCGTCTCTATCTGCATTTCAAAAATGATTTACTATTCACGGTAGAAACGAATAAACAAATTGACATACCGTGCAAGAGTATGCTTGACCATATTGGAAGCTTTCATATCAAGAAATGCTGAAACATCCGAATTCTAGACAGACAAAGCAATGTTTTTGACTAGAAGAGCGTGTCTATCTCAATTCAACAGCTTACATGAGAAAGACTCGTTTCCATCGTCTTGATCCACTGAAGGAATTCTTGGTGTAGAGGCATACGGGCCTTGTCAGCGAAAAATCCAAGTACAAACCTTTCGTTTCTGTCTAAATACACAAAGGCCTTTTATTAATTCGATGGGAATAAACCTCTCCGACCACTGACTCTTACCTTTGTTTCCCGGCTACAAACTATTGGACCAGCGATGTTACACACATTCGGAGAGTTGCTGTCACCATGCTGAAGGTGTATAGAAATTTGTTGGGCGCGTTTCTTTGTGCGAGACTTTTTATTCTCAGAGTTGATCTCTGAAGCACCACCACGGATTTTAGCTGCGATGCACCACGGCGATACTACGGTTCCGAATTTGCGTGTTTCCTTGTAGAATAGTACACGTACGTCGACAACAACTGTAGCTGCCTTGAGTCTGTGTGTTGGAAGTGGGCATCCATTACCACCGTTACAAGCGCACATTGCGGTGGAATCGGATCCGGCCAAACGGGCAATTTCCAATAGCTTTGGATCACCAGGAAAACCACTTTGAAGTTCTTGTTGCATCCTGCAAATATGTTTTCTGGCCGTTCTAGCGTTGACTATCAGAGCACGTTGAATTTGGGATTCCGTCCATCTGGATGCAGTGGTTGCACGTGTCAAGTTGGAAAAGTATCGTTGGTATTCTGGAGGATAGGTGTGAAGTGCAGTAACATTGTCATCTGCCAGCTTTGAGGCCAAATTGTCCAATTGATCTATGAGAGACTGCATCTTTAGAACTTGCACTGAAATAACTGTTGTTAACTTTTCTATTTTTGATCAACCTTACAAACACCCTAAACCCTAGAAATATCAATAAGAACAATACGACCTCCATCCGTTCCCAGCGCCAAGCTACTGGTGGTATTGACCAGTCTACCCCGCAATTCTTGGGGTAACCAAAACAGCGGTTTCGTTGATTCGCTCTGTCCTTGAATGACCCATCCTTGTTTGTCCAACCCAAGCGACCTGTCAGCGGATGGAGACCTGTGCGCAAAGAAATTGTTTGAGAACCGTGGGAGGAACAAATGCAAACGAATCTTACATAGAGTTGTTGGTATTTTCAATTCCACGTTCCATAGGGGCACCTACACAGTAATCATGAATTTTCATATCTTTAAGAGGAAAGCACGTCCCTCAAACCTGTTTCCGTCTTCCAAAACAGAGTAACGTCGTTCCAATCACGAGATTCAATAATTTTGCCATCAGACGAGAATTTAACCGAAATGACACCTCCAGAGTGGCCTTCCAATTTGCGTATCTCAATTCCTGTTGTGAAAATTTCAAATAAGACTTCAAAATATCCGATTCTCACCCCAAACCCTACATACCGGACTGGGCATCCCACAGTCGAACAGTTTTGTCCCCAGATCCAGATACGATGGTCTTTCCATCAGGCGAGAAAGAGACAGAAGAGACATCATTGGAGTGGCCTTCAAGCTTGCGAATCTCATTTCCTATACAAATGATATCGTAAAAACTTCCGAAAATCTAAATCACAACCCAAACCCTACATACCGGACTGGGCATCCCACAGTCGAATAGTTATGTCCCATGATCCAGAGACCACGGTCTTTCCATCAGGCGAAAAGGAGACAGCCGAAACAATACCGTAGTGGCCTTCCAGCTTGCGGATCTCGTTTCCTATTACAAATCGTCAAAATTAGTCCAAAAAAAGCGTCCATAACCCAAATCCTATCATACCTGACTGGACATCCCACAGTCTCACAGTTAGATCACCAGAACCAGACGCAAGGGTCTTGCCGTCAGGAGAAAATGCAACAGAATTGACTCCATAATCATGCCCTATAAGCTTATGAATTTCATTTCCTATAGAGCAAATTTGGAATAAAACTTAGGAAAAACTGATTCACAACCCTAACCCTTTCATACCGGACTGGGCATCCCACAGTCGAATAGTTTTATCATCAGATCCAGACACAACAGTCTTTCCATCCGGAGAAAATGCGACTGATTTTACCCAGTCCGAATGTCCTTCCAACTTTCGGATTTCATTTCCTACATCAACAGCGTCAAAGAAAGTCTAAAAGGCAAACTCGTGACCCAAACCCTACATACCTGACTGGATATCCCACAGTCGCACAGTTTTGTCCCAAGATCCAGATACGATGGTCGTTCCATCAGGAGAGAATGCGACCGATACGACAGGGTCGGAGTGACCTTCAAGCTTTTGAATCTCATTGCCTACACACATCGACACCGTCAAAATAAGTCCAAAAATAACTTAGATAACCCAAGCCCTACATACCAGACTGGATATCCCACAGTCGCAAAGTCCGGTCACCAGATCCAGAAGCAACAGTCTTGCCATCAGGTGAGAATGCAACAGAGCTGACATAACTGGAATGTCCTTCAAGCTTCTTGATCTCATTTCCTGCGCAGATTATGTCAAAATTTGAAACAAATAGTAACGCACAACCCAAACCCTACATACCTGACTCGACATCCCACAATATCACGAAATTGTCACTCGCCGTCACCATCAAAGTTCCATCACGTGAGTACGCAACTGAATTTACACCATTTCGATGCTCCAAGGTCATA